TTAATATACAGATAGATAGATGACCAATTGGACCATTTTCAGTTCTTTGCTAAACATTTTCTATAGAAAGAAAATAGTATTTATATGTTGTTCTTGAGTAGGCCTATCCTACCTTTTTCAAACTACCTTTAAAGACTTGAAACATCAGATATTTTAATGATCACAATTAATAATTCACAAATATTTACCATTTTATTTTTTATTCAGCTCTTCAGAGAGATCTTGATAACTATTTGAAGAAGACACATTATCTGGAGGAAAAACTACAACTTTCAAACAGGATGCTCCATGAGATTCGGGTATGAATAGTTAAATTCATTTCTTTTGCTGTTAGCCACAAACTATTATGGTCTCGTTGTTCTAACAAATAATTATAAAACGTCTAAACTTGCTGTAAATAGTTACTGTATTTATTATAAAATGGCTATCAACACATGTCAGTCAGTGGTGCCCAGAGGGAGGGACAGCGGCACACTTGCGGCACAGAGATTTTTTTTTGGGAGGGGGGATTTATTTTACATACCGGTATTCCCATTGAACTTATTAATTTCTTTTTATAATAAACGCTGAACAAATTCCTTAGAAAATTTTTCCGATTCATAATTGTCCAACAATGTGATGGACTTCACAATCACAATGAGATGCTCTTAATTTCACCGCTATCACAGGAGGTTTTGATGACGTCTTCTCAACCAATGGGTAATGGTGAGTCGGTGGCTCAGTCGGCACAGTTATAGACATTGAAAAGTCACCAACAATAACAACAAGCAATTTTAACAAAAGCAAAATTTCTGGGGGAGGACCCCGAACTCCCCTATGGGACACCCCTGTTAGCCCCCCATTGACTAGGTCCTTGAACCACCACTGCAATTGTTTGTTCGTTTGTAGCTGAATTAATATTTCTGGTTTGGGTGCAGAGACTAATGCTCTTAAATGAGAGTCATTTTTATTGCCCGAATATCGTAACGATATCATTGTCCCCATAGCTTTTAGAATGGTATTAGAAAACAAATGTTCCAAATAAATCCGTCTTATTGACAGCATCTTGGCTGTTTTGTTTTAACTTTAGTAAATCTTTTCTATCTTTATTTCGGTGTTCAGAGGAGGCAGGTGGATAAGTTAGTAAATAATAATGAATAATAATTTAATCTGACAAATAATTTACAATCAAAATTATTGTTTATTAACGAACAATATTTCAGGTAAAATATGCAACTGGACGAAGGCAACATTTTCTTCACAGTGATCCAGTAGACCAGCCAAGGAACATGATGTACAGACGAGACGATGGCATCGGTAGAATGTTTTCCTCCCAGCAAGCTTGTGTGCCTAGCTCTAGTAAGTTGGTTAAAACGTAAAAAAATGGTGCTTTGCAGGGATGTTTTTTTAACCATTTATTTACAATAATAGAATAATAAGAAAATTTAATGTTGCAAAGAGTACCCAATTTTTAAACATTACAAGCTAATGGGAGAAAGTATGTGTCAGATTCCTGATACAGTGTATTTATTACTCTGTTATGTATTATGTACTCTGGGGCATATTTTTCTACGTTTCCATAATTTGCAAATCAGTTCTTTTAATTTCTTAAGCATACAGCAATGTATCAATTCAGTTTTTTTTTTATTTGACAAGATTTATAAAATGTTCCAGTCATTTTCTTGCATTAAAATCTGTATCCATACCCAGGTTCGTAGTAAATAAATATCTACCAGATAGTAAATGTTTCCTTTTTTATCCGTACCAAATCAGTATAGTAACTTAAAAAGTAATTCAAACTTAAAAACATGTGCAAATTAAAATATATTTAACTAAAAACATACAAATAAGCACAGGATGAAAATTAAATTAACATGATAACATTGAGGGGCCCTGAAGAAGCTTATCATATTACATATATTGAGCTAATTTCATGGTACCACACACATCTTCGGGTGAGCTCTTTAAAATGACACAAAAACGTCAAGATCGATTAAAAGCTCTAGGAGTTCTGCTATAAAATAACCCCTATCAAAATAACTATGAATACATTGGACATCAGAATGAAAAAGTATAATCAGTCCTGAGTCTAGGGTTTTCCGTGTTGCCTACAATAATAACATCTTCCCTATAAAGAAATTCACTAAGAATAAAAGTTATATTCTTGATCCAGAAGATTGATGGTTGACTGATCAGGAATTATTATCATAATTGAGATGTTGGAACTTATCAATCTAATTGCTATTAAATATTGATAATGCACAGATTCAGATAATGATCAATCAATTTACTGTTTTAAGTTTTATTTTGGTTTCTTTTAGGAGTGAACGAGCATTATAATCATTCGTCAACTTCAAACAGAAGTTTCAGCGATAGAATGAGTCTCTCCCAACAATTTTGAAAGTTGTTAGATAATGTAATGATTTGTTAGTTAATAAGTAAGAAATATTTTGTTATCATTGCCAAGAGTAGAAGTAACTTTTAATTTTCCACATTTGTTAGGTTTAAGTATAATTATTACTCTCACAATGAGATACTAATCGTTTTTTTATTTAACAGTATGTAGTAAACTTGATTTGAGTTTAGTTAAACATTTGTTAAGTTTAAGTAAAATGATTACTCTCACAATGAGCTACAAATGTTTTTGGTGTTTGAGGATATGTAGTAAACTTAATTTTATATTAGTTGCACACTCGTGAAGTTTAAGTAAAATGATTACTCTCACAATGAGCTACAAATGTTTTTGGTGTTTGAGGATATGTAGTAAACTTAATTTTATATTAGTTGCACACTCGTGAAGTTTAAGTAAAATGATTACTCTCACAATGAGATACTAATGGTTTTGGTGTTTGAAGTTATGTAGTAAACTTAATTTTATATTAGTTGCACACTCGTGAAGTTTAAGTAAAATGATTACTCTCACAATGAGCTACAAATGTTTTTGGTGTTTGAGGATATGTAGTAAACTTAATTTTATATTAGTTGCACACTCGTGAAGTTTAAGTAAAATGATTACTCTCACAATGAGCTACAAATGTTTTTGGTGTTTGACGATATGTAGTAAACTTAATTTTATATTAGTTGCACATTCGTTAAGTTTAAGTAAAATGATTACTCTCACAATGAGATACTAATGGTTTTGGTGTTTGAAGTTATGTAGTAAACTTAATTTTATATTAGTTGCACACTCATGAAGTTTAAGTAAAATGATTACTCTCACAATGACATACTAATGTTTTTTATTTATTTAAAAGTATGTAGTTAACTTGATTTTAGTTTAGTTACACATTTGTTAAGTTTAAGTAAAATGATTACTCTCACAATGAGCTACAAATGTTTTTGGTGTTTGAGGATATGTAGTAAACTTAATTTTATATTAGTTGCACATTCGTTAAGTTTAAGTAAAATGATTACTCTCACAATGAGCTACAAATGTTTTTGGTGTTTGACGTTATGTAGTAAACTTAATTTTATATTAGTTACACATTTGTTAAGTTTAAGTAAAATGATTACTCTCACAATGAGCTACAAATGTTTTTGGTGTTTGACGATATGTAGTAAACTTAATTTTATATTAGTTGCACACTCATGAAGTTTAAGTAAAATGATTACTCTCACAATGAGATACTAATGGTTTTTTATTTATTTAACAGTATGTAGTTAACTTGATTTTAGTTTAGTTACACATTTGTTAAGTTTAAGTAAAATGATTACTCTCACAATGAGCTACAAATGTTTTTGGTATGTAACGATATGTAGTAAACTTAATTTTATATTTGTTACACATTTGTTAAGTTTAATTATAATGATTACTCTCACAATGAGCTACAAATGTTTTTGGTGTTTGACGGTATGTAGTAAACTGTTGGGTTGTAAAAAGTTATAAATAAATGTCTTAAGAAACCTGAAACCCCTTTTCTTTTTTTATGAATAATCATATTATAGATAATTTTAAATAAAATTAATAACAAATTTTTAATTTTTAATTTTTAATTCCTTAGTGTTCATGGAGACTTACTAAGCTGGGACTTTGACAGAGCTACAGTAGATTGGCATAGATAGATACAAAACATAAGTCAAAATTAAGCCTTAATTGACAGCATAGCAGAACTGCTACCAGTGGCGTAGCCAGGATTGGAGCGCACTAAAGCAGAAATTGCTTTAACCCCCCCAACCATATCATTGAACATCACCTTACATATATATTTATTTTCCTCTTCATGGTCTTTGCAGATGTTTTGTTAATAAGCACTTAAAACACAACTTACGTCAATATATTTTTTTAAATTCACAACAAAACAACGTAAATGTACAACAGTTAGTTAAAATATTTTGGCACTCCATTGTCCACCATGGTGCCAAAAGGACAAAAGGCCAAAAGGGTGGTGGTGGTCTCCATGGTTTGGAACACTATGAAGGAACTGTGAGTGTTGGTCTGAAAATAGAGTGCCTGTATACATATATACAGGGGGGGGGTCTTTTTCTTGCGACATGAAAATGGAAAAAAAATTATACTAAGAACCATCATCCAGCAGTTTGCATTGGACGAGGCAGTGAAGAATCACCGTAATCTTCTCTTGTGTTCTTTCCCTGTGGGGAGGCACAAGCAATTTTACTGTCCCTGTTATTATTTTGTTGTTATAACTTATTAGTTTTAGTTATTTTTAATTTATCTATTGACCATGCATCTATTCACTATTGCCATTTTCTACACCAGTGGCATTTAAAAAATTAAGTTAATCAATAACCGCTTGAAGTTAATCAAGTTAATCAAAGCGGCAATGAGGATGTTTTTATGCAATAAGAGACGTGTGAGTTGTGACTTATCTGGTTTTATCTGTGGGATTTAGCTGTATTTGACAACTTGTAAAAAACAAATGTCTGGTAAAAATTTTTTCAAAGTTAAGCACCAATCTACAATTAATTATTATGTTTTACTAGTACTACGGATTCAATAAAGAATTGTTTAAGGGTTGAGTTAGTATAGTAATGCTGGTTTGAGGAAAATTATTTCACATTAGTTAACACCTTCTATAAAAATATTTATTTCATTAAACATAAATAGAGTATAAAAATATACAAGCATAAATTTATTAGTAACCAAACCAACATGAAAAAATCTTTTCCAAAACATTGAATACAAATTTATCCAAATCTAGTTAATTACCAAAACAGTAATTCATTAATTCCAAAGATGTGCTCCAGTAAATGACCGGCTGTTTAAATAATTCTTGGTTAGGATTTTTATTATAAAATGAGTATTGAATTGTACATTAACATTTTAACTATGAAATTACATACCATTGCAGTGTCCAATGCTTTCATCAATAATCAGAGAACCAGATCAAATACAACCAATCTTGCTTGTGCGAGACACTATAGTGGGAAGCTTGAAGAGAAAGTGATAGTAATATTTAATTTTGTTAGGACGATGACACTTTCCTTGAACTGGTAACTGGGTGGACCCAATAAGGCTCCAATGTTACTTTAACGACCGATTATGATAGACTAAGCAAAACAAAAAGTTTATTTTGATGTCTATACAAAATGGTCATTCACTGGTGCACTCACCCTAAAATTAGTTCAACAAAAATTGTTTTTAATTATTGAATATCCTTCTATACAAAACCAATAAATCAAAGTATATTCCTGGAGTTTCAACAGTTTGAGTTTTTCTTTGGTTTGAGGATTTAGTGTTTACTCGTAGTTCTATTTGAATATTTTTTGCAGCTTGGTTGCATGATCTTTCAGTTGAAACTTGGCTGCAAGATGTGGCACTTTATGAATAGAATTCAAAATTACCAATGATCTCTTGGTACAATTGAAAACTACTGCAAAAACTTAAATCTTTATCCGAACATAAATGAAAATGGACTATGCGATCACTTCTTGTGGACAAAAAACCTCCATAACCTGTTAATACTGTCTGTCGCATTTGTCATGATCAAATCAGAAATGCTAGAGGACCTTAAGTGTTTAAATCTCCATGTTGTAGTCACTATTTCCAGCCATATAACCCTTCATGTATCTTGCATGTGTTTCTGGTGATAAAGCGTATTCTTTGACAGCTCTGTCTTCCTTCATAGCATTCATCCAAGAGACCTAAAAAAAGTAAACATCGGACTTTTAAACCTAGTATAAAAAAAGAGAGTTTTGAAATATTTTTAAATAGATCACTTGGAAGCTGAAATTTAGACTATTTTTAGAATTTATTTAAATGCTTGTTTAGTTTAAGCGAAGAGGAAAGCATTAAAACACCTTTTTTATAAACTCCAAAAGTAGATAGCCAATGCATATCAAGAGACCAGCGTATTGACCAAACACATGGTTTGTGTGTTTGACTCAAGTTCTCTAATTCGTTCACATAATTATGGAAATCATGGAGTATGTGGAGGAAGAGGAATTTTGTGGAGGGACAGAAGAAGATGGAGAGGCCTAGTCATCACCCAGACTCAAGAAATAACCGGAACGGGAGAGGATATGTATGTATGTAATGATAGAAATAAATTTTCCCAACATTACCAATAGGTAAACATTATATAGTAAATTCAGTGCTGTCACATATTTAAATTATGCTTGACAAGGATCTTGTACATTTGAGTCCCCCTAGCCCAAACACAGGTTTTTATTTTTATCTAGTCCTAAATATCATCTAATGTTTATTGGTTTCAATTTGATTTGTTTAAAACTAGTTGGTTATCATCACCCACATGCCTCTGTTTTAAAACAACATGTTCCGATAGACTATGACTAGCACTCTTAAAAGAGTTAACTTTAAAAAATCTGAAAATGTTAAGGTTACGTCAGAGTAAAACTAGATAGCATCTGGAATTTAAATGAACATTTTGAACATTTAATACAGGTCAATAATAATAAAAATTGCTTTGGTAGCCTATATGTTTATTCTAATTGTTAGTGAAGTCTGAATTTTCTTAGGCTAAAAATAAAATTAGCTGTGTCCATCAGCAGGAGGTTAGGTCAGCAACTATCCTCTTGTTCATAAAACATTTTATTTAGTACATTTGTTTATTTCAAGGTAAATGATCCATTACAGAAACGCACGCTGTAAATAATATTGAAAGAAAGTCATGGCGCACTGCATCAAATCGCATTGATCCGAATTGAAGTTCTTTGAAGAATTGCTGCATCGCACACCCCTAGTGGTCTCCCTCCCCCCAAACACCCCTGATTATCGCAATATTTAAATTCCCTTTCAATAAGTTTGTATAAACTGGACTCAAGAGTATTCGGAAAAATGTATTAAATATGCAGTAAAACGTAAGATAGAAGTATGCAGATAGGACTTATTTTGAGTAAATACTTTTGTTTTCAAATAAACATAAGATTGGTAAATAGATTATTATTGCAGTGTGAATATTTAGGGTTTAATCAAAGTTACATAAAACACAAATTTAAACACAATGAAATGAAATGAGATATCTTACATTATTCTTTCCTAAGTTGGGATGGTATAATCAGGCTCCCCAGAAACAAAGCTCTTGATAAACATTGAATGTTTTGAAAACCCCAATAGATGTTTCTGTACAACTTGATCCTTAAACATTTTGCCAACCCAAGGAACCTGATAACAGTACAGTAAATAGCATTCAGAGGGAGAATGCGTAATGTATAAATTAATATTTAAATGTTATTTTATACAGGGTTAGACAAAAAGTATGGATACACCCTCTTAACCTTTAAATGGGTTACACCAGGAAAAATAAACTCTGCACACCTTTATATTACATAAAAGTGTACATTTTTATGTGACATATTGCCCAGGAACTAAAATGTGGAATTAGAACCATACTAACTCAAACTTAGCATGGTGGTATGTTTTTCATGAAGTCAGGGTTAAGTTGCAGAAAGATGTATTTAAAAGGATTTGGGGATGAATATGGAAACATTAACATAAAAAAAAAGATGCTGATGTCAGACGTACAAAAAATTCTCAGTAGGCAAAAAGTATAATTCGAATTGAATCCTTTATAATTCCTTACATAATGGAAATAATTCCTTAAATACATTGGATAATTTTTTAAATTTTGAAATTAAATCACTAAGCCTAGCCTAATTTTAGCTTTTAAATAAAAAAATTCATGATTTTTCAACAGTGTGTAGGCCAATTTAATGTTGCAAATTTATCTATGTAAATCATCCTTTGAAGTCCAAATTTGGACTACAAAGGATCACTTGACAGTATAAGGTATTTAAACTATTATTTATTATTACCAGTGATCCGGAGGCTAACAACATGAAGTACAAATAAATGTCTTAGGCTATTTTTATTTATTGACAATGACGATGATCATGTTATTTCAATTTATTCTTCGTTACCGCAAGTTTCTTAAATGTTTATTTATACTATACTACTTTTTTTTTTTATTTCAGTAAAGTTTTACTGAGTAAAATTGTTTCTTCAACTTACAATGTGAGGAATTTCAGCTTGGTATTTTGAAGTCATATCAAATTGTTCGCCGAATACAATTTTCGCTGCTCCAAATCGCTCAAACCACGGCCAGATCATGTAGTCCACCATTCCTGGCTGAGAACCTGTATTGAAATGTTGCAAATGTCAGTTAAACTTACAACTTAAAAAGATTTTATAATATTAGATCAGATATGATTCAGTGGACATTTGACTTTAAATCTTGAAATATTCCCTGATATGCTAGTCTTGTTCTTGCATAAAGCATTACAGAACTTGTTTTACAGCATACCAAATGCCACTAGATTGTAATGGATACTGTAACTTGCCAATCATTAGCTGGATTGTGAAAAGGTTTTAAATTTCTTGTAAGAAAAATATTGCTTACCATACAGTAATATTGCCATTATCTTCTTCTATGTACTAAATACAAATACCCCCGCCGCAGCAAACCTGCAGACTAAGCGAATTTCAACTTGTCTGATTACATTTTTACTAAAATATTTCCATAAATAAGACATATTTATTCCCTATTTAAATAACATTAGATTTAACAAGTGCTTAGGTTTGCTGCTACGGGGAAAGTAAAAAGTGTTTTTTGACCATAAGTCCTACTTATACCCTATAGTAGGGACCCCATTCAAGATTCTTGTCATTCGCCTATTGGGTCTGATGATGATTGGAGTGTCCAATCAAAGTCGATCACCACTTACCATCTTTTTTGTATATTTACCGTCTTGTGAGTAACAGTATAAGCGTAAATTTATGTTTTATTTAAGTGTTATAAGACATTTCTTTGATTTACTTTCCGTAAATTTAATAACATGTACAATATGTACAACTCAAATTTCTTGGGCTTTCAGTGCTATAAACTATCTTCCCGTGTATTCCATCTTCTTAGATTTAACGTAAACAAATTTAAATCTAGTTGAGAACAAGGGAACAATGAACTACAATCAAGTGAAAACAATCGATACATTCGATGCAATGGTGATTTACAATTGAAGTGAATTATACCGCTGACTTCATAGTTTCCATCAGATTCTTACTCCCTATGGAGTAAAAGAGATTTTTACCCCTTAGCGAGAAAAAGAGCTACTTTATACCCGTAATGCATATAATGAACATATCTGTTTTTGCTTCAGTACAGTAGACTCCCTCTAGTTCGGCTTCAGTTGGATCGGCCGCCGGATGGTCCGGCCTGGTCTCAGGGGGACAAGTCACATCGTCACGGGTGAATTGCCTTCGACAGGATTTAACTTGAATGTTTAGTTTCCGGCCATAGAAGTAAACAATTCATGTCAGTTTAGTGTAGTATAGTATTATTTTTGACGGGTGCTTCTATGGGTGAATTGTTGCATATTCACTATGTAAAACTAAAACTATGTTACATAACCTCAAAAATACCGAGAACATTTTATAAATAGTTTTTCTTCGGTCTAATAAGTTGAAATGCAGTGTATAATTAAATATTTCGAACCATTTTTTATGCGGTAGGTTCCCCCATTATTATTTTTGAAACACCACAGTTTATTTGACAAAAATAAATTAAAGCAAAACAAAGAAATAGCCATCGTTAGCTTCAAAAGGTCAAGCTATCCGCTTGCACTGACAATCATCTGTTCTTTACACAACTGCTGTGCACTTGTTTGCTATCTCACAAAACAGTTTGTGATTGGGTGATTAGTAACCATGGCAACTTGTTGAATGTGTGGATGAAGAGAAACCAAAGAAAGAATAGAAGAACAAAGAAGAAAGAATAAGCAGTGTTTTACGTCATCTATTGTTATCTTTATCTCATTTGTCGACTGTCGTTATTATCTTTAAGACTAGTTGTCTAATGTTTTCATCGACTTTCTTATGTTCTGAAACAACATGAGTAGTAGTAGCCTATGCTGACTACGGTAGCAGTAGCTTGCAGTACTAGACTTTCAATTTTTCTGTTCTTTACGTGATTTATTGCTGTACGTACAATGTTGTGTAATTTTTGTTTTGCTTGAGTAAGCGTGATTTTAATGTTACAGTTTTTATTACTGAACCAAGGTTATTGACTTAACATATAACGATTGCGCAATACTATTATTTGTATTTTGATTATGTAAAATGCACTACAACCGGTTAGTCCGGCCGTTTTGTAGTTCGGCCAGTGGTCCGGTCCCGAGGTGGCCGAACTAGAGGGAGTCTACTGTATGACGAAAAAGGTAATTTTTTTAGGGCTTCACCGCGTGGAGTATAATTTTTTCAAGAGTTTGCTTTAAAAACTCCAGTGACGCTGAACAGCTTTCTTTATAACGGTTTAAAATTTAATTGTGATGCAGGTATTAACATTTTTAATTTTATGAATAATAAAACAGTACCTCCAAAGAAAGGTGTCCCCCGGTTAGCCAGCTCCTGATCAAATACTTTTACTTCACGAACAACAACCTCAAACTCTTCAGTGGTTGGAGTTGGCTTTGTCATGATAAATTTGTAGAATGCCCCCGATATCTGTAACATAAAATTTGACATCTAAATCATGAATCTAACAAACACAAATAAAATAAGGCATACATTATTGCGACCTAGCATATCATATACATTTGAATAAAACTCTTTTTCCTAAAAGTTTGTATTTATTGAACTATTTTTGAGTTTTACTTTTGATGGCAGTGTGTTAATGTTGTTCAAATGATTATTCTGGATATTTCCTATCTCTGATTATTAAAACCAAAGTTCACAACGTGTCGGGACACAATTAAAGAGGGTCTAACACTAGCTTGAGTACCCCTATTGTGGGGTTGTAGATGGAACAATGGTGATTGATATTTTTCATATCACATGTGTGGTTTTTAAAAATATTTGCTCTTTAATCTTTATTTTCTTGTGTCTATGCCAGTAAGGCATTTTCCAATGAAGTAAATTTCAAATGCTTTCAAGGGAAAGTGGTCCAATGCCCTTAAAGTTTTGTGAACGTGCCGGGAACTAAACCCAAACCATCCCTTCCGCACTGAAGTCTGTGACGCTAACCATCAGGCTAGCAACACAATGTTGTAACCTCTGATTTGTTAAGGCCTTTTTGGTTTGGGCGAGAAATCAACCAGCTATAATCCTTATTTATAATACGTGAAGTTGATTTCTATGAAACACTACTCCTCCGTTAATAATGGATGGATTTTTACAAACAATGTGTCAAAATTAAGTATTTTTTTGTATAGACGCCCCCTTTCACCAATTCCTGTAATAAAAGTCCTCAGGCTTTGCCCCACAGGCCATCAAAATCACAATGTATTTTTTATGAAGAAAGGAGCAACAGGTACACTAGTAGTTTGTATTAATTACATCTGTTCATAGTAAACACATGATACACACAAGAGTGTTTGTTTTCAGAGTGAGTTTGTTTTCAGAGTGAGTTTGTTTTCAGTTTCGATAACTGGAGTGAAGTGATTGATGACATTATCTTTGAGTCGACTCTTTTAAGTCATCGGAAATTATGACTGGCGTCTGGCGTTCAACAGACATAATTTATCGGTTTATGAAAAAATTCCATCTTATAGTGGTGTTAAATATTTCAATAGCTTACCTGACAATATAAAAAATATAAGTAATTTTAATTCATTTAAAAAACGCTTGAAATTATATCTCACCAACAGACCCTTGTATAAATTAGAAGATTTTTTCCAACTTCCTGAAATTTGATTTTTTTTATAATAACAATATTCTTTGTAAGTAGTCTTAAGTTTAATATTGTGTTTTTATAACTGACTCCATTCTGTACAAAATGTGCAATATGAATAAAGTTATTTTGATTGATTGATTGATTGATTGATTGACTGTTGTTTGTTTTGAAATAACGCCTGAAATACTTTGCAATTGCTCAAATTCGAGCAACAGGTATTATAATAACCAGTATTATTATATTATCAATAGACATGGGACACCACCTAGGTGCATATTTTAACCCAAATATGAATAAAAGATAAGCGTAGATTGTAAAATAAAGTGAAATGCAAGGCCAAATTTTAAAAAAACAGGCCGTAATGCTCGTAAAGCATGACGTCACGATAGAAGACGGCAATGACGTAGGTATTTATTTCCCAAGGAATGATTAAAACAAGCAGCAGATCACAAACGGTAAACATTACGACATTGCCGTCTTCTATCGTGACGTCATGCTTGACGAGCATTACGGCCTGTTTTTTAGTGTGGCCTTGGTGAAATGCCTTTTGAAGCTTTGTTACTAACTAAGATCAGCTGGTTTTTAATCAGGATGATTTCTAAAAGCCCAATTATCAAGGACAGCTGGTCTAGTTTTGAACCATTAACACATTAGCTACCAACTATACTCATCCCTCAGTTACAGAGGAGTGTGACGGTCGGTAGGGAACGTGTTAAAGGCTACTATCTTTTCACAGGATCAAATTGGCGACCTGTTGATTACCAGGCGACCATTCACTCAGCAGCCCAGCTATAAAAGACCAACTATATACAATGTTTAACGCATAAACATAAATACAGTGTGTCTTGTAGGTTATGAATAGTAAGATTTACCGGTCCAAAAGACTCAATCAGAATTCTATCCTTGGCTTTCTGAAGTGTGTTGCTGCTATGCAGAGGTCTCTCCGTGTATTGTTCGTCTAGATAGTCTGCGATGATCAGACTCTCCCACAAACATTTCTCTCCGATGGCCAACGCAGGTACTTTTGCTGTTGGGATTTTTTTTACGTACCATTCCGGCTTGTTCTTTAAATTGATCCACACAACATCATGTCTGGAAAAGATGATTATATCAGGTACCAATCATAACACACAATGATAACTCTAAGTTATCCTCCCAAGTAGGCAAACAATCCAAATGACAATATTTAGAAAAAGTATAAGGCTTTTACTCAAACCATTGAGAGGTTTATCGAGTAATTAAAATAAGATTTGTATATACCTTTTAACTAAGGGAAGAAGAAGTAAAAGTTTTTTTAGAACAAAAGATTAAAATTTCTTTAGCGGCAATGTTGGGAGATGATCAGCACAGTAATAGTTGTTTTTAAACGGTAAAACATCAAATCAAGCCAAAAATAATTGAGAAATGAACAAAATATCTAACATTTCTCTACCATAAACTATGGAGGGGCTCAGCAAACTTTGATTCCTGCGTTTACCATATGGTGAAAAATGGGAGGATGTTAATCGTAGCAGTCTGGGTGGACGATTTGCTAATTTTTCACAATGATAAACATCTCAAAGAAATCCTTAAGTCACGACTAATGAAAGAATACAAAATAAAAGATATGGGGACAGCAAAGTTTATTCTGGGATTTAGAATAACCCTGGATAGGAAAAACAAGAAGATGTTCATCGATCAACGAGCCTATCTTGAAAGTGTATTGAAACGATTAAATCAATGCAACCCTGTTTCTATTCCAATAAATGTTGGAGAAAGACTTTCTAAAGAGCAATCACCCAAAAGGGAGGAAGAAGCGGAAAAGATAAAGAATGTACCCTATCAAGAAGCACAACCAGATCTTTCATATGCCGTCAGCTGTGTGAGTAGGTTTAACAAGAATCCTGGAGTGCCTCACTGGGAAGCAATAAAAAGAATTCTTTGATACTTGAAAGGAACGTTGGACAAAGGTATAACGTTTGATGGCAACAAAAATTAAGATATAATTGGTTATAGTGATTCGGACTGGGCTAGTGACTCTGACGATAGAAGATCAACTATGTTTCTATGTTTTTGTTAAATGTAAAGGTGCTATTTCCTGGTGTACAATAAGGCAGCCTACAATAGCTTTGTCAACAACTGAGGCTGAGTACATGGTCAGCAGCCACTCAAGAAGCTATGGCTTAAGAATAAGGGATTGTCTAATGAAATAATCTCATTATCGAGTTCTATCACAATATATGGGGACAATCAAGCAGCAAAGAACCTCAGCAGCTATGAAGAGTGCTTATCAGTCAAGAACAAAACACATTGATGTGCGTCATCATTTTATACGTGAAAAAGTTTAAATGAAGAAAGTTAAGTTTGTTAACACACCCACAACTAGTATGGTGGCTGATTCTCTGACTAAGGCACTCAATAAAGACAAGCTCATGAAATGTAACAAGGGGCAAGGAATATGCAAGTTGGGAATATGTTGTAATGTCTAACATTCATATTCATCTTGCCTGCCTAATTTGTTTATAACAATGGTTAATGTTATTATATATTATTACTAGCTGGCCCAACAGACGTCGTCCTGTCCTAATGTGGTTTTATGTCAAATGCTCGTTCATTTTCAAGATGAGCTCGTTCGCATGGCTCAATCACGTCCTGGTTGAAGTTCGTTCCCTACGCTCACTCACCTTTAGGTTGGAGCTCGTTCGCTGCGCTCACTTGCCTTCGGTTACATTTGACAACAAATATTTGTAAAAAACAAATGGAATAGAAACCTATTTGATAGCTCTCATTTGTTATGCATAGATTTGTTTTTAAAAATTAGGTTATCATTACAACAGCTGTTTCCTTAATCCTATACTCTAATACGAGCAATGTTTGCTTGTATGTATGTATGCTTGCTTGCTTGCTTGCAAAAAAGATCTCGAAAACGGCTCCGACGATTTTCTTCAAATGTTGTAAATAGTTTATTTCTGGCCTAAAAACGAGTTTACTGCAGTTAGAACTGCCAACAAAAATCTAATTACGTAGAAAAATGAAACTGAAAATCACATTTTTTTAACATTAGTCTTATGGGTTGCTAGGTAACCATGTTGGCTGAATTAAATAACAAGGAAAAAGTAAACAAAAGACTTGAAGTTGTAGCATGTGTTCATAATAAGCCAACTACCTACAGTATACTAGCAAATGACAAATACAGTACAAAAGGAAAAACATCACTTGTTAATATTGAGCAAATATTATACTGAAGATTACTCAATACTTTGTAGTCAAGGGTAGCAATGCGAAGTCTGGGATCTGTTTATGACGTATCTGCAATCCTAAAATGCTATGGGAAGGGAAGGAAACAGGTCCGCGACGTAGGAAGTGGTGAAGGAAGTAGTAAAGGCAATCATAAAATGCTATGAGAATAGAGGGAAACAGGTCCACGAATAATGTAGGACGTAGGAAGTGATGAAGGAAGTAGTAAAGGCGAGTAGTCCAGAGTGTGGGAACTGTTTATGACGATTAGATTAGGTATCTGCAATCCTAAAATGCTATGGGAAGGGAGGGAAACAGGTCCGTGACATAGGAAGTGGTGAAGGAAGTAGTCAAGGCGAGCTGTCCGTAGTGTGGGAACTGTTTATGACGATTAGATAAGGGTATGGGCAATCCTAAAATGCTTTGGGAAGGGAGGGAAACAGGTCCGTGATGTAGAAAGTGGTGAAGGAGTTAGTCAAGGCAAGTAGTCCGGAGTGTGGGAACTGTTTATGACGATTAGATTAAGGTATCTGCAATCCTAAAATGCTATGGGAGGGGAGGTGAAACAGGTCCGTGATGTAGGAAGTGGTGAAGGAGTTAGTCAAGGCGAGTAGTCCGGAGTGTGGGAACTGTTTATGACGATTAGATTAAGGTATCTGCAATCCTAAAATTCTACGGGAAGAGAGGAAAACCAGTCCGTGACGTAGGAAGTGGTAAAGGAAGTAGTCAAGGCGAGCTGTCCGGAGTGTGGGAACTGTTTATGACGATTAGATTAAGGTATTTGCGATCCTAAAATGCAATGGGAAGGGAGGGAAACAGGTTTGCGACGTAGGAGGTGGTGAAGGAAGTAGTCAGGGCGAGTAGTCCGGAGTGTGGGAACTGTTTATGACGATTAGATTAAGGTATCTGCAATCCTAAAATTTTATGGGAAGGGAGGAAAACAGGTCCGTGACGTAGGAAGTGGTGTAGGAAAGGCGAGCCGTGTGGAGTTTGGGAATGTATTAATGTATCTCCAATACTAAGGTTGCTTTCAGAGTGAACTAATGATTTCCCTGAGCAAAGCTCGGTCCCCAGGTACTTTAATTTAATCAAGAAATGACAAACATGGCATGGTAAACAAAATAAAACATTCTTCCATAAGATTAACATGTAAACTGCAAAGGGCCGTAGGACACTTCCCTTTAAGGGTTTTTGAAACGGAAACAGGCTATTATGTTATTCTAGTACCTAAGGAATATCCCTGTAAATTTTCATGCCAATTGGTTCAGTAGTTTTCTAGTTATAAACGCTGTAACTAACACAACTTTCTTTTATATATTAAGATATTGTTATCAGTTTGTTTTTTTTTTATTTTGCCTTAAAGGTTGCTTAAATTAAACAAAAGGAATTATAGTATGATAAAGCTAAGTTGTGCACAGTTGAGTTTTGTTTCTAAAATCAATATTTGTTTTTAAGGTGCAATGCAACTGTTTTTGTTTTTAGGATAGAGATAAAAAATCAAGGTGTCAAACAAGCAAATGGTATCAAAAACTGTGTGTAAGTTTCAATGTAATCACTCTCTTGACAGGCTTAGGTAGGCCTAGCTAACATTTATTAATTAGACCTAATATTATTCAAAGTGCATGCGATGACAGTACTTACAGTATGTTCTTTGCCAATAGTACTAGATGCACTCGATGATCATACGGACAAAACCTCATTCCATAAAGCCTAAGTTTTCCTGGACTCAAGGGCGGTTCAGCCGAACCTGTAAAAACACGGGAAGATATAACAAATTTCATAGGACTATTCTCAGAAAGAAACGTTAAAAATAAAACGATTCAATTGTGCATGCAGTGTTGGAGTCCCATATAAACAGCTGTTTGCTCTCCACAGTCCACATATATACGGACTCGTCCAAACCACTCAATTTGTGATTATTTTTTTTGTCCTAGGACGCTAGGCAAGAGCCCGGGATTGTTTTTCACATTACTTCAGGATAGACCCAGGGGTTGCGGCATTATCACTTAGATAAAATCCATTGGTGATTTAGTGGGATTTGAACCCGGGACTTCACGGACCGAAGTCCCGCGCTCTAACCACTACACCAGCTCGCTCCCCTGTGAACGTATATTTAACATTTACCATCTAACAAATAGTCACCGTTACAACTGAAAACTGACACAATTTTAATACACTGTACAACTAAATGCTATGAAAACAGTCCAGGAGGAGTGGTCAGGGTCACTGCTGTGCTGGATAGTCTCTACCAAATTCGGCAGCAAAGTTAGGAGAACGGTTTTACCTGACCTGACACAGCCCGACTCTGGGTACAGTTTCTTCCACATTCAACAGCTTTGAAAATGCCTGTAATTACTGTAGCGAGCCTCGATAACAAGACTGTCATGGCTGTGATCAATGGTTACAGTTCTGCAGAGAACTTACGATATATTATTGGATTAAATATCAATATAATATAGTTTAAAATTTGGTTTGATATTATAATTGCATTAAATTAAGTTTTATACTCACAAAATTTTGGTGGTTTAAGGGGGAAATTCCCCCACTTCTTTTTTGTTCTCAATAGTATATATGTACCTGATTGTCATTTTGACAAACCTCAGCTGTTGAGCTAGACATTTTTTATTGGTAGGATGATCAAGTGGAGGGGATAAATTTCTTCACCTACATAATAAAACCGCCTAATTTTGTATACCTAATGACTAGTTAATTTCCAGTAGCTTGATTCGATTTTCACTTAAATCTATTTTAAAAAACAGTTTAAGTTTAATGAATAACTTAACTTACTTAGGTTTGCTGCTACAAGGAGGGTTGTAGTGTGTGTAAAATATTAATAGCTTAGAAGGCTATAAAAATAAAATGACTTGCCATTAAATTTTTGATCAAAATATAAGTTATCCATAAACAAGCCAACTTCAACAATACACTTACTCTCCAAAACATGTATAGGTACATAGCCTATATAGACAAATTTGAACGAATTGAACTAATACCTATTGTTCGTGGACTCTGAAGACATCAAAATGAAAAAGTAAATCCGTACCGGGCCTAGATCTTACAATGCCTGTGCCACCTACAGTAATAGCCACTTCCCTATATAGTGCAATTCGCTACGGTAAGTTAAAACATAAATTAAATCAAGTTGTTTAAATTTCAATCCTTGGTTTTAGCCTACTCTAAATTCCTACGACTAAAAATGGAAGAAACTATTATTTTATTCACTCTATATGCGGGTAACCATTCATATCAATATGTTTTGGTTACAGTATTGTTCGTTTTGTTAACGTATATAAAATATACCTATTTTCATTTTGTATATTATTGAATATCATATCGATAAGTTAACTTAGTTTCATATTAATTCAACATTAACTTAACGCTTCCCGGACGGGACCATGACCATGACAACGTTAGGCAATAAAGAACAATATGTAAACAATAAATAAAGACAACGTAGTGTTGAGCACGAAACCTTGAGGGGGAGCGTAGGATAGGTGGGAGGTGCGCGGGAGAGGGGGAGGCGCGGGAGAGGGGGAGGCGCGGGAGAGGGGGAGGCGCGGGAGAGGGATGTCCTGGGAAAGAGGGGGGAGTGCGTGATAGAGTGTAGTCTTGAATAGAGCAGGAAAGTGGTGCCTTGGTACCGAGAAACAGCTGGTTACTGCTCAAGCACCTGCCAGTCTGTCTGAAGAGAAGGCAGATATATCCGCTTCCCGTCCGGAATATCAAAAACCATAAGCGGATATATCCGCCACCCGTCCTTTTTCGCCAAAGGCGGATATAGGTATCCGTCACTTGTCCGTGAAGGGTTAAGGTACTGCACTCAAAGAATTAAATGTTTAATATTGTACTAAACATCAATAAAAACCTAAGTTAAATAACTAATTTCAATGTTTGCATCGGAAAAAAAATTGTAGAAGCAATAGGCTAAATCAGATCAAATTATAATTGCTAGGCATATAGGCTATTGATGGGCCTATTTAAACCGATAATATAAGTTATCACAGGTTCTCTACCGAATTGCACCCCATGGGATTGTTAAATAACCCTTGTTATTAAGGTTGACTTCTTAACAAGATTTGTGATTAGGGGTCAAATAAATTCAAGGGGATTTTTTATTACATGGCGTTATCAAGGGTGACTTTTATCGAGAGTACGGATGAGCATCGATAGTCGATGTTTTCAAAACATCAATGTTTTTCCATCAATGTTCGATGTTTTCTATCAATGTTCGATGTTTTTCTATCAATGTTCGATGTTTTTCTATCGATGTTCAATGTTTTTTACATCAATGGTAGGTAACCGATGTTTTTGTTGCTTGTTACATCAATGTTTTTGGCCAAGTATTGAGGGGATGATGTTTTCCATTACTGGAGAGTACAGAGAGCAGACGAAAAACAGAAAAACAACATTTTTGCTGAAATGGGTGATTAGGGTACTCAAATTAACCAGTAGAGTGAGCTGAACAAAAATATGCAAGAATTTTCAGATTTTCAGATCATATTGATATTAATGGAGATACGGCCGGAAAAGCGTCGGTTAATCAAGTTAGCGCCAAAATGACCAAAAATAGGTTAGGGTAGGTTAGGTTGGGCTAGGTTAGATTAGGTTAGGTTAGATTAAGTTCTATTAGGTTAGGTTGGGTTGGATTTTTTTATTTATTTTTTTTGTCCTAGGACGCTAGGCACGAGCCCAAAATTGTTTTTCACATTACTTCAGACTAGACCTAGAGGTTGCGGCATTATCACTTTAATAAAATCCATTGGTTATTTGGCAGGATTTAAACCCGGGACCTCAGACACCGGGGAAGTCGTGTGCTCTACCCACTAGACCAGCTCGCTTCCCCGAGTTGGGTTATTAACAATACCTATTTTAAGTTATTGCCTAACCCAACCCAACCTAACATAACCTAACCCAACCTAACTGAACATAATATAATATAACATAACATAGGCTAACCTAACCTAACCCACACTAAGCTAACAAAACCTAACCTACCTCACTGTACCGGTTAATTTGGGTACCCTCATTAACACATTTACGCAAAAATGTTTTTTTTTTTTTTTTTTTTTGGGTGGAAACGGCGCTTTTCCGTCCGTATCTCCGTTAATATCCGGATCTTGAAAATTCTTGCATAAGGTATTCTTATTCAGCTCACTCTACCGGTTAATTTGAGTACCCTCATGACCCATTTCCACAAAAATGTTGTTTTCCAATTTTCTGGGGAAACGGTGCTTTTCCGGGGAAAATGACAATCATTTTTTAATTTAGGACATTATATAGGCCTAGCATAAGAAGTGGACAAAATTTAATTTTAGCGTGATGTCCATGATCAATATAATTACGACCAATATAATTAGGCCTAAGATGTTTTAGTCCCAAAAAAATATAGATGTTCTCGGTACCTACATAGATGGTTGACATCTAATCGATAGTATTGTTAAAGGGGTTCCATTGTACCTGACCCTTGCCATGTGTGTGTTGAGCTGTTGCCGAAAGGCAAAAAATGTGGTAGTTTATTAACCGATTTAGGCAGCTAAGAACCCCTATTTAAACCCTTCACGGACGGGTGACGGATATATCCGCCTAAGTCTTCAGCGATAATGGACAACATGTGGCGGATAAATCCGCTTATGGTTTTTGATGTTCTGGGGGGGAAGCAGATATATCCGCCTTCTCTTCACACAGACTGGCAGGTGCTTGAGCAGTACCCAGATGTTTTGCGGTACCAAGGCACCACTTGCCTGCTCTCTCCATGGCTGCGCTCTCTCTCACACTCCCCCCTCTTTCCCGTGCCTACACTCTCCGCACCACCCACCTCTCCTACGCTCTCCCCTCAACGTTTCGCTCAACACTACATTGTCTTTTTACATAACAATTTATTGTTTACATAGCCAATTGTTCTTTATTTATTGCCTAATGTTGTGATGGTCATATCGTCATAGACGGGTGGCGGATATAAGTTTATCTGCTGCTTTTCTACTCATCCGCGGACAGGTAGCGGATATATCCGTATAACTTAGTTAATAACGAGTAACAAAAAATGTTGACAGTAGGCCTATGAAGTGTTCCATTATTGTGTTTATTTTATGTAAACTTGTAAGTTATAACAAAACACAAATAGGCTAAGGAAAATCAATTTTTTTCCTATAATTTTTTACCGTTCTATGTAACGATTTCGACCGTCCGGGAAGGGTTAACCATCGAGTTAACGAGAACAGTATCAATTACCTACTTGTGCTACTTACCTATGGTCAAATGTTCTGGCATTACAGATGTGTTGTTCAACAACTAACTTAACTTAATAGAAGGTATTACGAAATTTCAAGTGTAAAGTAAAATATATAATTATATTCAAAAGATATTAACAGTTAACTTAACAATCTACAGATTTCAGATTTTATTATTTGACAAAATGAAAATAAATAAAATGACAAGAGGAAGAGAAGAATGTTTGAGTAGAGACACTATTGGCGAAGAAAGAAGGCAGGCACCCAGAGATGCCACTAGGCCAGTTTGCAAGACAGCCTAAAGACAGGCTCTGGCAGTACTTGCAAACTGTCAATGCAATGAATAAAGCTAAATAGCTAATAGCATTGACTATATAAACCTGCAGGTATATTACACGTGTATACACGACCACCTCAAAGCACTGATTATAAGAGTCTATAATAATTATGTTTTGAATAATTTCAAAAATTAATTTATTGCAAGTGAAAAAGTTAGCGAAAAAAGGTTAAGGGTTTTATTTATTTATATAATGTAAGGTATTATTTATTTAATGAGATTAAATTATACAGGGTGTTCAAAAAAGGTGGGGACATAATTATTTTACCTAGTGATTCCTTGTGTCAAAATAAAGAGAAAATCATGAATAACATTTTTTCCAAAATCGCTTTGTTAACCAGATATCCGCCATTTTGTATTTTTTACATAAACATTTTTATCTTCTAATAGTTTCAACCGATCTTTATGAAACTTGGTATGTAGGTTAAGGTAGAAGAGACTCGTGTTGTAATATTTCATCTTGATTCGACCTAAAATTTAAATACCCCCGCCACAGCAAACCTGCAAACTAAGCGAATTTCCATTTCCCTGAATGGATTTACACTAAAATGTCTCCTTAAAAATATCACATTTATTCCCTATATAAAAAGAATCAGTTTAAAACATACTTAGGTTTGCTGCAACAGGGAGGGTAAAAGTGTTTTTTTATGTAAAATGTTAATAGTTGGTAAGAAATAAAAACATTTTCAAAATTTGGGCAAAATATGTTAATAAACAAGCAAACTACAACAGTTTACTTATTCTCCATAAGAATAACATGGAAATTTTAAATTTACAATTTTTTTTGAATTTTCTCCGTAACTATTAGGCGCATTATAACGCTTCAGTATACTAAATTATTTGTTTTTTTAAGCTCTACAAAATAGTTTAGAAAGAAATTGCAAAATTTTATGCTTTTTGGGTCAAAAATAGGAAAAACCCATTTTTACCCCATAAAAGCCCCCATAAACCCCCGTTCACATGGTCCGATCATGCTGGTTCGCGAACCCGTTTGAGTAAACGTAGGTTTACACGTTTGTACCAAATTTCATCAAAATCGGATAATTTTTGCTCGAGTTATCGCGCTAACGGACACACATATATATATATATAAATATATATATATGAATTTGAACGGATGGTGTTTTTGGCCTCTAGGGACCTCAAAACGAAAAAAATCGGTCCCGGGTCCAGGTCTTACCATGAGTACTACGGTAATAGTTTATTCCCTATATGGGAAATTCGCTAAAATGGCACCCATTTAAAACTTTTAAACTTAAATTACTCAGAAATGGCTGGTTCTATTAAAAAATGTCTAGAACACTTTTATTTAGCACTTTTAATTATCTATCAAACGATACCAAGTTCGAAAAGATGAAATAAGAAATAGCTGGAATATTACGATTTTAAGTTGTATTATAGAATAAGGCAGAAGTTAGTCATGTTTGCCCCATTTTACAATTACAAATTATAAAATTTCAGCGGCTAGATGGGCTAGAACCACCCAGCCACCCCAAGGAGCCACCACGTCAACATCTTTTTGGTACAACAAGATCAATATTATGTTATGGAGGCCAGGTATGGGGATATTTAGAGAGCGAAAAGATAGAATCTGTACAAAAGTTATTTATTAGGAAACTGTTTCAGTTGCCTAATAACATGCCAAATTACTCACTGTACTTGGAAACGGGTCTAGATACTTACTTACTTGAATACTTGTAGTTTCCGTCCGTAGTCCAGGGCAGGAATTGGACAGGTCAATAGGTATACAGTAATAGGCTAATAATAAAAAATAACTTATAATAAAATCACTTCCTAGGCCAAAGGGCTCTGTTTTTTTTAAATTTAGAAAATCTTCCACATCATAAAAACCATATTTTTTGTCAGGAAAGACTTGGTTTCTGTTTTGAATTTTGAGAGGTTTTGAATGTTTTGAAGTTGTTTTGGCAGTGCTTGGAAAATTTTTAAACCGGAATATTGAGGTTTTTGTTCAAACAATTTTAGTCTGTGTTGTTGAGCATGAGTTCCTTTGTTTTTAGTGTTGTATTTGTGATCTATGAAATGAGGTTGAATGTGTTGTGATTTTATGTATACTACTGCTTCGTAGATGAATATGCATGGGACAGTCAAGAGTCCAAGCTGGATGAATGAATCTCTGCAGCTGGCATCTGGTGGCATGCCTAGGATGGTTCTTATTGCTTTTTTTTGCCAGACAAAAACTGTTTCCAAATTCTTTTTGGTGGAAGAACCCCACAAAATGATGGAATATGAAATGTACTGTTCGAACAGTCCGTGATAGACGAGCCTGGACAGATCATCGCTGCCGTATGACCTCATCCTACGTCCTACGTAGAATGAATAGTCCTCGAGCAAGTGATCTCTCTAATCCATAAATGTGCTCGCCCCATCCGAGTCTATCATCCAGCCTCACCCCTAAGAAGTCAGCCGTTTTTGATTGTTCAATTTGGTTCTCTCCTATAAATAGGTTCGGTGTCCTATTATTTTTGGAATTTTGCTTTTGTGCTGTTTGAAAACACAAATAGTTCGTTTTCTGGGAATTTAAACTGAGTTTGTTTGCTTCAAAAAATTTAGAATGATCTGAAATTTTTTCATTTGCTTCGCCCTCCAGAGTCTTAACATCCTTACCCTTCATGACCAATGTTGTATCATCGGCAAAGAGGTAGACATCAGACTCTGGAATCGCGTTGGTGATGTCATTAATGTAAACCAAGAATAGGAGAGGTCCTAAGACGGATCCTTGCGGAACTCCGCTTGTGATTTTTTGAGGAGTCGACATGACATTTTTAATTTTGTGATTTGATTTTCCTCTAATTTCAGTAGTTTGGTGTCGGTTTGTCATGTACGACTCAATCCATTTGAAAACAATTCCGGAGATGCCAATTGAAGCCAATTTTTCCAAAAAGAATGATATGATCGACACAGTCGAATGCTTTTGACAAGTCTGCGAAGCAACCCACCACTGTCTCCCCAGCCTCAACCGCATCGATACAATCATTAACAAAATCAATGAGAGCCAATTTTGTGGATCTGTTTTTTCTGAAACCATACTGTCTATTACAGACAATATTGTTCACTTCAATGAATTCAGTAAGTTGCTCCGAAACAACTTTTTCGATTAATTTTGAGACTGACGGAAGAAGCGAGACTGGACGATAGTTGCCCGGATCGGTTCTGTCCGCCTTTTTGAAAAGAGGTTTGACTTTAGCTACTTTGCAGTTTTCGGGGAAAAACCCAGTTTTTAAGGAAAAATTTATTATGTGAGTCAACGGCAGTAAAATCTCAGATTTGCAAAATTTCAGTGTGTGCATGCTGATTTCATCGATTCCGCTAGATTTTTTAGATTCCATTTTGGAGATGATATCATCCAGTTTTTGAGGTGTGATCTGAGAAAAATCGGTCATTTTGCAGTCTGTATTATCTTTACTAGGAAAACCTGATAATTGGAAGCTTAGGTGGTTGCCATTTACAAGGCTTGATACGTTTGCAAAATAAGTGTTAAATGTTTCTGCGACTTGGCAAGGATCCTCTATGGTTCTGTCATTTATTTTCAAGCTTATATTGGTGCTATTATCTTTCTTTTGTGTTCTTAAGCTATTAATAACATTCCAAGAGGCCTTTGATTTATTTCTTGATGTGGTTATACTCTCTTGAGCCCAATTTAAATTTCCTATTTGGATTTTTCTCCTATAATTGTCTTTAAGTTCAATGTATTTTTTCTTATCATGGGCTGATTTTGTGAGCTTCCATATTGAGTATTGCTGGAACATATCCTCCTTTGACCTTTGAATGTCCGCTGTCATCCATTTGGACCTTTTCATATTTCCTGTTTTTATTTTATTTTTAACTAATGGACAGCTAATATCAAAGTGATACTTTAACGTGTCAATAAAGCTATTATACATCTCGTTGACATCATTTGCCACGTACACAGAATTCCAGTTTTCATATTTAAGTCTAAATTTTAATTCTCTAAGATTTTCTGTGGTTATGTTTCTCTTTTCTATCGAGGTTTGATTTGTATAGTGTCTATTAGAATTATCTGTATTTACATTTATTTGAATAGAAATGGCATGGTGATCCGAAATATGAGGTTCAATTGTTGAAGCATGTGATGGTCTAAAATTTGTGAGGAAATTGTCAATACAAGTGCTAGAGGTCTCTGTAATCCTGGTAGGCTCTGTTATATTTGGTCTCAAGTTAAAACTTTCTATTTCATTAATGAATCTATGATAACTATTGTCTTTCTTTAATAAATCTATATTGAAGTCTGATCCTACAATTATATGCCTGTCTTTTGTATCCAAATGCATTAAATATTCATTTAGTTTGTTGAAATATTCATCTAGGTTATTCTGGTATGGAGATCTATAAATTGATGCAACAGTAAAAAGTTCTTTATTTATGGTAAAATTTATTTCGGAACATTCAAAAACTGTTTCTTTGATAAGGTTATTGCCAATTGTTGTTGGTTTAATATTTTCTATAATATCACAGTGTATGTTTTAAAAAATAGCTACTCCACCTAGGCCCCTATCTGTTCTACCATATCCAGCTAGAAATTCATAATTTGATATGTTTAGTGCGCTTAGGCTCACCTGGTCTAATCCATGCTCGTTGATTAAAAATAAATCTGGCTTTTCTGAGAGCAAAAACTGTTCAATGATTTCAATTTTATTAATTACTAGCTGTACCCGCGGGCTTTGCCCCGTTTAACTTCTTAATTTTCAAGATGAGCTCGTTCGCATGGCTCAATCACGTCCTGGTTGAAGTTCGATCGCTACGCTCACTCACCTTTAGGTTAGAGCTCGTTCTCTTCGCTCACATGCCTTCAGGTTAGCTCGTTCGCTACGCTAACTCGCCTCCAGGTTGAAGTTCG